GGGCATGAGCGTCAGAGCTCGCACGGCGTTTGGGCAAGGGATCAAAAGTTATCTGAGGTTTAAACATATGCCCCGACCATGGACATGGGCGGCGCTTAGGGATCCCATAGAATGGGTGCTGACACGGGCGGCTATTTAGCTGTACGAACGAATGATAGATGAATACAAGTGCTTCAATTCATTGACCTACTACAAAAATGTCCAAACACGCGTTCATGCCGGTAACCTTTTTCTCGCGGTCGCGACAGACCATCATGGTAATATGGTAGCCCCGGAGAGAGAGAGAGCGGTGTGTTGCGAAGTAGGCAGGCACACACCTCAAGCAGCAACAGGCTGCGAATCCGACTAGACCCTTTCAAAGCCCAACAGCCTGATCGGGAAGCTCCCATATGATACGAGCTGGTTTAGCGGATCGCTCATTGGCCCAGCTGACCTTGCCATGTGTTGTTGTGATGAGACACGTCCTCCGTCTCGCTTGAGAGTTTAAAGTGCGAGCTTCCCCCGCCCGTTTTGACCTCGACCCTCCCACTTTCTACAACACCAATCTTGTCGCGTCCGCACACCACACCCGGGATACTGTCGCCGATAGCTGTAAGTAAGTCGCCTCTTTCCTTTCCTTCCGTTTCTGTATTTATGAAGCGCAAATATATGTGCGATCGCCTGCTTTTTTGCGCTTCCACGAGCCACGTCGGCGGCATGGCAGCAGGACTTCGCGCGCGTTTTGCACAACGCGCTCTTTCTGCCTTCTTCTTGTGTACATCGTGGTCGCCTGTATCACTTCCATGCGTTCCTACATTTCTGAAAGGATAGCTTCTTGGGAAGCTTCGCATCTCGCGCACTGCTTCCAAATTACGCGGCACGCGTACTAATCTGTCATGCAGCTTCGACTCACCACTCCACGCACTACAAAAACACTGGAAACTACTCGAAACCTTCAGACCAAGCAAGATGGCCGCTACTACACGCGCGAGAACTGGTAAGCCTTCCCCTTTTGCCCACAAGCTCGGCACACGCATACAGCCCTGCACTGCCCCAACCACGCCTCCATACGCGAAAACCTCTTCCCAACCAAGCAGCAAAACACTAACCTCTTCCCAAAGGTAACTCCAAGCCCCGTCTCGTCCAGCAAATCGAAAACGCTGTCGCGCCCACAAAACGCAGCACGACCACCAAAGCCAACACGTCCAAGCCCCGCACCAGCAAAGTAGCCTCTGGCCGCGTCACCAAGCCCAAAGCTGCCACTACCACGACCACTACTAAGAAGACGACTACGACCAAGCCCAAGGCCGCTGCTGCACCAAAGAAGACAACTGGGCCCAACGTCAAGACGGTCAAGAAGCCGAGGACCAAGACGGAGAAGGTTGTTGATAAGGTTGTTGGAAAGGCCGAGAAGATTGTTGGTGATGTGGAGGGTAAGCCAGGAAAGAAGGTAAATCATCCCCCGTATCTTTTAATCAGAGACACGTCAGCTAATTCTCCTCTTCTTTTCAGGCCGCAGGCACCGCCAAAGCACGAGGCACAGACTCGACGACCAAGCGCGCCGCACCGCGGACTCGGGGCGTAAAGGCTTAAGAAGAAGAAGCTCCTCGTGCGTTTTGCTGTGTACAACCTGCTCGGAGCGTAGGCATCGGTCCCTCTGTTGTGCACCCGCTTTGCTTGCGCCATGGCACGCTAGCATGTCCAGCACGAAGAGGACAGGGTGTATTGGTATCGCCTCTGTTTCGCTCATTTCCTACGAGTCACGATGAGCCCGTTTCTTTTCTTTCGTTTCCTCTCCTGTTGCTGTTCGGAAAGTGTATGATAAGATACCCAGGCGTTTTTGACACGACTTGTTAATTAGACAATGAGGATTGGCACTACACATTGTTTTCCAGAGACTGAGGATGATCTTGGGCTCCTGTGATATTGAGAGATGTCATGTTTGCTTCACGATAAGACGACGTGATGCTGACAGAAAGCTAAAGAATAGATGCAGGTATGTCCAGAAGACTACATGGAATTAACAGTAGGGTGGTGTATCTTGACGGGTATACTAGACAACGACAGTACATCGCAAAGCACTAAGCTAAGCAGACTAAGCAGAGCAAGAGAGCGACATGCAAATCGGAGAAACGCGAACGCTCATACATCGTCAACCTCCAATGCTTCCTGCACTCAGTTCCCCATCCGCACTCTCACCCTATCTGAAGACGACCTTAATCTCCTTAGCCGGCTGCAACACAATATCCGCATGCATCCCCGGATCCGCCCCACCCATCTTGTTCTCCACCGTCTGAAACCTCTGGAACAATCTGACAAGCGTATACCCCATCTCGGTAAGCGCAAACTGCTGGCCGATACAGATCCTAGGCCCGCCGTTGAACGGGACATATGTCCACGTCTTCGGGTTCCAGTTGTCCCATCGATCAGGCGCGAAGACCGAGGGCGGAGGGAAGGAAGCAGACGTGGGTGGGTACAAGTCTTCGCGGCGCTGCATGACGAGGGTTGAGTAGCCGATTGGTGTGCCGGCGAGGATGCCGATGGGTTGCGTGCCGTCGGGCCCGCCGCCTACGGGAAGCGTGGTGTCTTTGAGCGCGAGACGGATGTTGTATGGGACGACCGGGTAGAGACGGAGGGTTTCGTTCAGGATATGTTGGAGGTATTTCATGTTCTTCAGGTCTTCGTAGGTGGGCTGGCGCTCTGGACCGACTGTCTGGAGAATCTCCTGGCGTAGCTTGGCGAGTATGGTTGGGTCAATGGATAGGTGGTAGATTACCCAGGTTAGGGTGCACGCGGTTGTGTCGCGGCCTGCTAGGAGGACGGAGACGAGTTGGTCGCGGAGCATGTCTCGGTCGCGTGTGTATCCTGCGATCGCGTGGAGGAATGTGTAGCCTTCGTCATGGTTTGTCTTCTTCTCGAGTTCTTCTGGGGAGAGTGCGAGGGCGCGGTCGATGAAGGGGTTGACGAAGTCGTTGATGATCTTGATGGAGTCGTAGAAGCCCAAGTACTTGCGGGGGATAAGCCAGTTTAAAGGTCTACGTGGTGTTAGTAACAAGCTTGATGTGCTCAAGTAAGTCTACGTACCCAATCTTAGACACAAAGCTCTGTATACGCTGAGCGTTGTAGAAAGCATCTGCGAAGACGGTCTGTGGCTCGTCAAGACTGCCTACACTCTGACCCAGGAGAAAGTGTGTAGCGGCATCCAGAGTGTACCTGAACATCATATCAAGCGTATCGATCTCCTCACTCTCGGCGATCTTGGACATGAGGATTTGGGTGTGCTGTTCGAAGATGTCGATGTCGCTGAGGCGGTCCTTGACGAATTGCGGGCGGATCAGCTGGCGTGAGTTGTGCCATAGTTGCCCGTCGGTAGTGAAGATACCTATGCGAAAGTCAGTAACCGTCCATTCATTTGGTCTGATGCGGCGTAGTTGCCCTAGGACCCCACTCTCTGGTGTACGTACCGTTGCCCAAGAAGGTGTGCCAGTCTTTCCTGAACTGCTCTCCCTTGCCGTAGTCCTTGAATTGTGTCGCAAGAATAGCCTTGATATTCTCGGGGTCTGCGGTCAGAACCACGCGCTCGCCAACGCCAGCCTCAATTGTGTATCGTCCTGGACCGCACCACTTGTTGAACATGGCAACCCATAGCTCGTACGACTTGTCTTTGAGAGCATGGGTGACAACTTCGTATGCCATGTCAACGCCATACGGGAAGTATGTCTTTCGGACTGGCGCTCGAGCGCCCAGCTTGCGGATTCGCGCATCGGTGTTGATCTGCTGGACAAGCCTGTAGCCGATGTACAGGACAACTGCGGCGCCGAGGAGATAGGGAGTCGAGAAATAGTTCGTCATGTCCGTGAGCTCGGTCGCGATTCGCGACTATGCGTCTAAGACGGATGGCGCTTCGCAGGGTATTAGCACCGCATATATGGTGGCATTCACATGGAAGAGAATGCGCTATGAACGCCGAGTGGACTACCGGCGGGTAATCGACCTACCCTAAAGTTCTGGGATCGACAAGAAAGCCGAGTTTTGACAGCTGCCTGGAGACGTGAAGAGCATTGGCGCCGCAATGCTAAACTTTCTTCATAGCACACGAGCTTGCTGCCTCCCGTCGTGGTGCAATCAGAGCGTCGTGTGCTCTTGGGACACCTCGGCTTGACATCTGAAAGCCCCCCGTGCCGCAAGACTCGCAATTTTCGACGTAAAGGGAGCAATGCTAAGGGCTCGCGTAGCTGTCGTGCGCTCATGCGCATCCCTGATGCCCTGCAAAAGCGGGGAAGGGCGATCGAGATAGCTGGACCATGTGGGGATGGTGGTAGCATCGTGGCCGCTCGGACGAATTCTGGAAGACTTGGGGTTCCGACCACCATGCTGTTGTCATAATGGACTGCATACAAAGCAGAAGACAGTATGTTCGTGACTGGCGAAGATTCAGTTCGTTGCTTGCGGGAAAACATGCGACGCGTATACCTCCTGTCATCTTGCCGCTGATCGCCCAATTTGCCGAGTCGGCTGCATCTTCCCGTAATCATCAACCCGGAGGCAACCCCAGAGGATCATGCGATGTGGAGGGCGTGGCTCAGGTGGCACATTACAGCTGCTTGGAGCTCAAGTCGGAGCTGATAAAGTTTCGTTCAAGAAGAGGCTGACAGCTGAACGCCCGCACGTCATCGTACCTTTTGCTCAAGTCCACGGTTTGCCCCACTTCAGGGTTAGCTCGCATTTGTCGAACTCTCCAGTCAAGGACCGCGATACTACCACAAGGTTACCACTTGCTTATCTCAGATCAAGTCTGTATACTCTATTGGCATCGATATATCATCAACTGTTGCAACTGCCGGGAATACCGCAGGAGCTTACGCTTCGAGAAACCATTCGGAGCATCCGGATCGGGCCTACATAGGTATAATGCCTTGCGCCAGTTTTCGCTCTTATACATAGATTACGATCCACCCGTCTCTTCTCTCCTATTCAACGATCTTTTGATTCTCCCAATCTTGATCTGATCTCTTTGCATCATGAAGCCTCATACATGTACTACACTATCTCTTCTCATATCCTTAGTAGCAGCCATTTGGCCTGTACCTATCTCCCACGAATATGGCGATGCTGTTCTTTTCATTAGAGAAGATGTACCATTCTACTGGTATGAACCTGGCGCAAGAAATGTAGGCTCAATCATGGATCAGATCCCTCTTCTCTTCGGGTTCAATTCTAATCAAGTTCCATACGCACAGGACAGCAGCAACCTGAAATTGCGCACGCAATACACAGGACCGGTGCCTAGCGACAGATCCGAAACAGCTACCCAGGAAGGCATCACCAGCGACGACATTGTTGTTTACGCCATCAATTCTACATGGGCAACACTCTTCCAAACCAACTTTTACCCATGGAAGTTTCACCCTAGAGACTGGGATGAGCCGTCTCCAAGCCAGTCGAATACGTCATACATCTCTCGCATCGACGTCAAAGTGCTCAAAACCGCCGGCCCTAATGTTACCAAGCCACTTGCTGGGGAGGTTGACGAATCCTATAGTCTAACCTTGACAAAAGAGGGGGTTGCAAGCATCAGCGCAAACACCAGCGTAGGGATAGCAAGAGGCTTGACAACATTCTCTCAACTCTTCTATGCGCACTCCGATCAGCAGCATGTATACACCCCCTTGGCACCCGTGCAAATCACCGACGGTCCAAAATTCCAACACCGCGGCATCAACCTCGATGTGTCACGTAACTACTTCTCCACGGCGGACATCAAACGCCAGATCGACGCTGCCGCCTACAACAAGATGAACCGCTTCCACCTTCACGTGACAGACAGCCAGTCCTGGCCCTTGGAGATCCCCTCTATGCCCGAGCTATCCGCCAAGGGAGCATACCGACCCGATCTAGTCTACACAGCCGACGACTTCGCAATGATACAACGCTACGCTGCGATCCAAGGCGTGGAAATGATCACCGAAATCGACATGCCAGGCCACACCTCAAGCATCCACTACAGTATGCCAGAGCTAATAGCTGCGTTCGGCATCCAGCCAGACTGGAACACATACGCCGCCTCTCCACCCTCTGGAACATTGAAACTGAACTCGCCCGCTGTCTACGATTTCCTGGAGAAGCTTTTCGATGATGTACTACCTAGAGTGTCTCCGTACTCGACGTACTTCCACACCGGTGGCGACGAAGTAAATAAAAACGCGTATTTGTTTGATGACACGGTCAAGAGCAATGATTCGGCGATCCTGCAACCGCTCATGCAGAAGTTTGTCGATCGGAACCATGACCAGGTACGCGCCATGGGACTTACACCTGTGGTGTGGGAAGAGATGCTGCTGGAATGGAACCTAACGCTCGGTTCCGATGTACTCGTGCAATCGTGGCAGAGCGACGAAGCAGTTGCACAGATTGTGTCAAAGGGACATAAAGCCATAGTTGGGAACTACAACTACTGGGTGAGTTGAAACTCCTCCTCTCCTCTTCCATCGTCTCTTCCATCGTCTCTTCCATCGTCTCTTCCATCGTCTCTTCCATCGTCTCTTCCATCGTCTCTTCCATCGTCTCTTCCAGGCGACATTTTGCGTGTACTGACAACCACCTAATAGTACCTCGACTGCGGTAAAGGCCAATGGCTAAACTTCGACCCCTCCGTTAGCGCGCAATACTACCCCTACCAAGACTACTGCGCCCCCTTCCACAACTGGCGTCTCATCTACTCGTACGACCCGTTACACGGTGTCCCTGCCGAGAACCAGCATCTTGTTATCGGCGGCGAAGCGCACATGTGGGCCGAACAGACCGATCCCGTTAATGTCGATAGGATGATTTGGCCGCGTGCTGCTGCTGCGGCGGAGGTGTTGTGGTCGGGTGCCAAGGACGAGATGGGTCAGAACAGGAGTCAAATTGATGCGGCGCCTCGGTTGAGTGAGATGAGAGAAAGGTTGGTGGCCAAGGGGATTGGGGCGGAGCCGATTCAGATGCCGTATTGTACTATGGAGGGGAATGTATGTTCATTGGGTAATCTTGGTTAAGGTATGATGTGGGGTGTGGAATCGTGGAGTGAGTATAGTAGTGGGTAGATATTGAGAACGTCGAGATGCATAATATATATTCCAATCTCTCTTCCCCCAACGCCAGGCGCCCTATATGCCCTCATGTTCTTGGTGAACGGTATATCATCAGAATTCCATGGCATCGGCGCCCTCCTCCCTCTCCCTCTTCAACGCTGGTTTGTCCTCATCCACTAAGCCCGCGACAAACCGTCGGAAGTAGTCTACGTACGGCTTCAAGCTCGTCTTCTCCCAATCCTGTATCTTCTTATCTGTTTCTTCGCCTGACCAATCGTCGATCTCCTGGAGTAATTGCGTGACTGTTGGTACACTCAACGGATCGAAATCCTCCACGGTCCTTGTGTCGATTGGAACACAGACACGTCCTGTTCCGGGGTGAATTACGAATGGCGACTTTAGCAAATGGTTAAGTTTCTTGGAGACTTCGGCATCGAGACGGGGGTATGTGTATTCTAGGATGATGTCTTGCTTGGCTTCGAGGAGGTCTTTGGGTGTCTTTGACAAGGCGCCAGATTTGGCTAACGCGTCAATGTCGGCCCATTTCGATGCGCTGGGTCGGGAGGGCGCAGAATCCCACTTCTTCTTCAGTGCTGCTCTGAGCGTGGGGTCTGGGATGAGGTCGAGGAGGTGCGCGGACTTTTCCTCTGCGGCCCAGGGATCTTGTTCAGCGAGGATGGAGGTCTGGAAATGCTCTTTCAGGATAGCCAGACTGCGCTCGAGGTGAGGATGTAGAGGTCGTCGCACGTTGACCTTCTTGCCGCCCTGATCTCCTCCTTTGAGTAGTTCGAGATAGCCGGCTACGGAGCGGCGCTTTTGGTCGTCCATTTCTCGGGCTCGTTTGTCGCAGACCCAGGCGTGGGCTCCTCGACGACCGGAATACACCCAGAGGATATGTTTGAAGCCAAAATCTTCCCGTAGAGCAACATCGATGGTCTTGATGGCCATTGTGATGAAGCCCCAGCACTTGAGACAGATGCTCGCACCCGTGCAACATGTTCTAATGTCGTCGTAATCCGTCATATCGATATCAAAGACCAGCTCTTTCATCAACGGGCGGAACGAGCTCGCTTTCCGCAGTGTTTTCCTATCTCTCGGGTTTGTGCTGTACATGGGACCGATTTCGAAACGTGAGGGCAGCATGTTTATGCATTGCTTCCGCAGGAGATCGGCTGTTGGGAAGGATTGGTATCGCAGGTATGCGTCGTTGGGTAGGGTGAAGGCGAATTCGCGGTGTGCAAAGTCGTTGCTGGGTGTTGCGGAATGGTTGAGCCATTGGAAGAGGGGACGGAAGGGGAACAGGCGTTGATAGAATGCGCGCATGACGTCTGGGTCGGAGAAGGAGGATTTCGATGTGATCTTGCTGTATCGGTGTCAGCAAGTGTTATGAATGTGGTGTGTCGGTAGGTGGGGCGTACATTGGTGCGGGTTGCGAGGCATCTTCCTGCGACGTAGGTGCTGGCGCGCTCGAAGGGAACTCTTCGTCTGAATCTTCATCGTCGAAGAGCTCCTCGAGGTTTACCTTGGGCTTCTCTACCGCGGCGGCTGTGGGTGCGTCTTCCATTGCAACATCTTGCGTCTCCGGCTCGGGTTTGATAACATCCGTTTGGGACACTGTCGCTGAGGACTCCTCTGCGGGCGTCGATTCCGGCGTAACTGAGTGCGGCATCTCGGAAGTCATGCGAGTGGATTTGGAGGTATATGTTGTGAGGACGCGGATGCTGGGGGTGAAAGAGTTGGCCGACGCGTTCGCGTATAGTGGTCGCGGGCGCGTTTGGGCTGCAGGGATACCCTTGTCCGCCTTCCCTCGTTCCTTCCCCATCCGTGTAACCATCGCTCGTCATATCGCGTCAAGTCGAGCAAACATTATCCACATTGCTCAAACCTCACCTAGGCAGGGCATGAACTGCGACAGTACTCACAGTGCGAAAGATGGCGGAGGAGGATACTGTGTCCGGAGAAGGGTGGATCTCAGATGATAGCAGTTTCTATGGTAAGTTTGAACACCTCAAGCTCATCCCATAATATGTGACTGACGGTGGGTTTAGGTGACGAGGATGAACAACTACACCAATCAAAGAAGTGTGAAAGTTTCAAGACCGGACCATTCTGGCGCGCACATGCTAAAGACCTAAACACGATCGCGGCTGCTGCAAGAACACAAGCACCACCATCAGATGGAGCCGTATCAGACAAGCAACCTGCGGCAATGACTAACAACTTCGACATGTCGGGGCTCGATCGCCAAGCTATGGAGCAGGAGCGATTGGCAAGACAAGGCAAGCGAAAGCGAGAGCCCTCACCTGTGCCGACCTCGAACCTTGAACTGTTCAATCCTTTGGAAGGACAGGATGATGCGTGGCAGCTAGGCGAGCCTGTTGATGACTTTGTCAGGCGACTTCCTCCATATACAACCTCCATCTCTACATGTCCCTGGATCTGGGCTGCTAATCCGTATCGCAATCCTCGCGACAAGTCACCTTCGCCGCGTGTTCAAGACTTTACATCCCGTGGCACGGAGTTGCTTCAACAGTCGCTCCAGACCCGCCGCGACATCCAGAAAGAAGGCGCGAAGGGGCCTAGGGGCATGGTCACTAAACAGCTCCTCGAAGAGAGCAAAGCTCTGCAAGAACGGATCTCGGACCTTGCAAAGGACACGCATGTTCTGTCCGGAAAGGTAAGTTCCATTAGCTGCCTGATCATTCACTTCTTCAAATCACTGACTGGTGTTAGTGGATGTTGTTCCACAAAGCTGTGGCAGTTGCTCGGGTCTGGAAGCAAGTTGTCGCGAACGTGATCGATAATCGACTTGGCTGTACCTGCAAGGTGGCCACAGACGACGGCAAGGACGAGCGACTAAGTAAGTTCGACGTACGACAGATAGTGCACAATTACTGACGCAAAACCTTTCGTAGTCTGTGTCTACACAAAGGACTTCCTGGATGCTGACGATGTACTGCGAGTACTCCACGAGCTTGAGACCATGGGTCTCATCAACGTCGGCAGGACCATTTACTACAAACCAGATGCCTACACCTATCTGGATCTTAGACGCGAGACGGCTGCAGAATATGGACTCCAAGCCAGTCTTTACAACTCACGAACTCTGTTGGCAGCTAACAAAGTGTCAAAGTCATCCTCGTTTCCGCAGAAGAAGCAGTCGACGCTGAAGAAGTGAGCTTGGGTGTACATCGTTAGCTGCTACGCTGTTTGGGGGCGGGTTCGTCAGGCATATTCAACCAACGAAACTCTCAAAGAAGCTGCAGGTGTTGCTGACCCTCTCTCATATGACAAACAATCCCAGCTTACCAAGATTCGTTGAAGTGCTTTGAGCTGATCTTCCCACTTGCCTGGTCGTTCTGAATGCGGCAACCAGTGCATGAATATTACAGACACCGTTCACAGACAAACAAGTACGCGTCAGACATGCAGTTATGCCTGTCGACGCTGATCACCGAGCCGCTGTCGGACGCACGTCAATCAAGAAAAGAACTGAACGGGTCTGCAGCCTACATTAACATAAAAACCTACAAGATAGGTGACCTGGCGTCGATGTAGGCTCTAGGCCTGTTTAGTTTTTATCTGGTATGAGGTGGACGCAGCAGCCCGTTTGACATGCCGGCTAGGACCATTGCGTACCATGCTGAGCAACAGGCCTTGAATCACCCGGGCAAACGTAAGCAAAACTTGTCTTCGGCGTTGAAGCGCAGCTGCAGGGTCCTTACCGCTACTCCGAGTACACTGAGTTGCCCGTAGGCGCACGCAGCCAATGTAGAGGCAGTTCGGCCCATCGTGCCTGCAGAGCCTGCCGGTGGCCAGAGCGAGTCGAGAGCAGCGATCGTCTTTGCGACGTCCGTCGTGTTGGCGCGCTACTGAAAATTCCAGAAACCGAGAGGCGTCGAGTTTTCGTTACTCGATAGTTACCCTGAGGACAGGGCTTCAGTGCCGTAGTTCGCCGCTTGCGATAGACGACTCACACTGACGATCATAGCATGACAGAACATCGGACCCCCCCGAAACCACAGTATGACCGTCTCTTCACATCTATACATATCCTCGCATTTCGAGGTCTCAGTAAAATTTCCAGGTGTAGTCGCGCTTGCTTGGACGAAGTAGGTAGAAGAACGGCACCAGCATGACCCGGGCGCGTTCGGGTTCTCGGTTGATAATATGGCTGTCGGCCAGCCCCGAACAGTCAGGGCGTTCGCATTGGACTAGTCAACGGCTGGCCTCAGTCTTCGGCGCATCGTATTTCCTTTACTCGATTTCTATCGAGTAATGGGAAGGTCGTGTTGGGAGGTACGCTGGCTGACATATGCTTAGCTTCTCCGATGGAATCGGGCCTTACTCCGATGTCTTCGAACTCGCACCTTCTATGCCAACGAGCGTTTCAGGACAAGAGTGTGTTTCCATCTCCAATCTTTACGCAAACAGTGAAGAAAGCAGTGAATAAAATATCACAGAGGCCCTGGGTCTCAGATTCTAGAAGTATGACGCTCCGCCGTTGACCCTGCGCTAGTCTGAGGGCTCTAATCGCGCGATCTACTGTGCGCCTATCGCGTGCAGCAATACCCTTGCAGCTGCTTATCAGTAACACATGCACGTCCCCCAACACCATCCACAACGTGCAGCAACACGTTTAGGAAGTTTACCGATTCCCACGCTCTACCCAATCTTCGAGGAATCAAACTTCGAGCACTGATGACGGAGAAACAGCTCATGATGCGCGCCCAACCTAGACAGCCAAAATCTCGCATGCTCGATCTTGGAGTAGCACACTATACCAGGGCGAATAGCCTCGTATCTACACTAAATCGGCCAACGGGAGACAGGGTCGAGATGCATGGCTAAGGCGGCCGCGATAGACTACCTCCACCCTAGTTACTCGATAGAATCGAGCAACGTGTATTCCAGGGTTCGCCGATGCTCCACAGTCCCCTGACGCCATGTTAGCTGACCCAGAG